GCGTTCTGAGGGCCTAAAACCAATGCCGACTCAGAGCGCAAACAAACAGCACCTCTTGTCATTTTCTCAGGCTTTACCAAAATTCTGGAACCTACAAGTAGGGGCCTGCAAAGTTCATCAAACTTTGAGGTGTGAGGTTTCCAAACCACCTCTCCTGTATTTTTGCCCATCTGAAAAATGGTAGGGGCAGCCTCAAAATAGAAGCAAATCCGGGCCAGTAGTACATGATCATCATCTACATTCATCTACAAGTTCCTTACCACATGTACAAAAAACTGTCAATTCGGCTTTTCCGCTCGACCGAGCCTTGTGAGCATTTGGAACACCACAGCGGGGTGGTATTGGGAGGGGTTGAACAATTTTTGCAATGCTCGCCTTCCAGGATCAACAAACATCCCCATTCAAAGAGCTTCTTCACAGGGCCACAAAAAGCCTTTCTGGGTGAGTCTTGAAGAGTGGCATTCTTCATCCCTCCGGGCGTGATGTTGAAAACCCCGAGACAAACAGCAACACCAACAGCAGTCAAGCTGAACAATCTCTAGGGCCCTAGATTTGCTAGATTTGGGGGGATAGATTATGGATGGTTGGGATTCTTTTGCTGGCTGGATGGAACTTAACAGCGGCGGATTGCTGTGCTCGGTGCTGGTGATGCCGATGTTCGGCATCTGCACCGCCGAGCGACTGACAATACATATCCGTTGGCAGCTGGATTTCTCACTATCACTGCGCTGCCGCCCAAAGGTCGACATCTTGGCCACGAGATTTCCCGCCAAAGCCTCTGCGAAGATTGACCAATGCCACAACCAAACAAAAACCACACAAACTGCGTAATTGCGCATACAAACCAGAAAACTCCATGAATCTCTACCACAAACCAAGACCGGAGAACTTCTGACCACACCCCTCATAGTAAACTGGCCCTGGCAACACCACATTGCGCCTGCATCGAGGCAGCTGCTGGAGCCAGATTCATGGGCACGCCAAATATGATAGGCACCGAATAAACACACCGCACGATTAGCCTAGCATTGTCTGGATGGTGGGAGACACAGGTGTTGGAAGTGGGGGTGAAGCATGTTTTAAAAAAATATGTGGCACGATATGGCAACAACTTGCCAGATCCATTCCTACAACAAGCAAGCAGGATATGCATTGTTGATGCGTCCTTTGATCAGCGGATCTGCACGCGAAACAGAAAGTTGCGTTGGCTTTGTGGAGACTCGCAGTGGTCAACATTCCCTACCAGCTGGCCCTACAAGGAAGTGCAACCAAGAAACATCCAACGGTCCTGCAAACGAAAACGCTGAGAACAAAGCCAGCTCCAAAGCTTGCCAGCTTCTGAAATCAAACAATTTGGTTGAAGCATGTTCTGATCCCAGTGAACCCATGTGAATCCACAGGCCCCCTTACTTGCACACGTGGCTTTCAGAAAGCATCGTCCATGTTCGAAAGCAAACCTGCTTTCGAATTGGCTTTCAGAGCGGCTCCTCTGCGGGATAGTTCCGGATGAAGTCTTGTTGGGTTTGGCTGCCGAAGGACAAGTAGCCTGCTATGCGAACCCACGGATCCGTAGGGCGTTCTATCCGTATGTAGGAACAAGCCAGAGGGCCTTTCCACATAGGAGCCTGGATGTTGCCATGGATTGCTGATTTCCCCTTTAAACACAAGGTTCAATCCCCGGCCACCTAGTTCAACTATAGTTCCAAACGAAATCCTGATGGGTCGGATCACATCATATAATACAAACAATGTTGAAGCAATTTGAAGTATATACATGATAAGTCTAACGTGCTGTTTGATAAGTCAAACGGGAACGATTCCCCGTCAAATCACAACTTGTCGCTTGTCCGCTGTGCGGTCGGTAGGGCAGGCAGGGTGGTATCCGCATTGAATTCCAACAGTCAAGGGCTAATACAGCAAAGTCGGAAACATGGCTTTAGACTTTAAACGTTTGCGCCCGCAGTTGCTGTGATTTCTGGTGCCCCTTTGCTGGGCGAAAGCCTTTCTCCAAACAAGGGACCACATGTTGCAATGGTGGCATAGATAACGAGCCTCAGTGGAACTTGAAGCGGAACAGGGAGCTGCGGGGTGATATAATATATATATATATAGGGGGAGAGATAGATAGATATATCTTTATATGTGTGTGCCATATACATCCAATGCCCTTTCCATCCAAAAAGTTGTATAAATCAGTGAACATGATGCTTAAGTGACCCTCAAACACATACAAACATAGAAGCAAAGGATGGTAAAATTCAAGCAGGTTTTTTGATGGCGCAACAAGAGTTGAAGGTAGGGAGATCAACTGCAATCAAACAATGTCCAACTGTAGCTACCACTCCAACTCTAATGCAACGGCCCTCGAAGTCCGTCCACAAAC